ACCAGGGTCACAACTCAGGACATAATGGGACCGTAGGGGCAGAGGACCAAATGGGGGATTCAGGCAGAATTAACAAAGTTAATTCTGGTATGTAAAGGCCTGGACCAAAGTCAGAAGGAACGCCCCCTTTCTAGAGCCAAGGGGATACAGAAAAGGTCTGGAGTTGGGAAGAGAGTATGGGATAGCCCCTTCTGTAGACCATGGCAGGGGGTCAGAGGAAGAGTCTGCCAATATTGGTCGGGCTGCGGCACTAGACAAGAGCAGGGGTGAAAGAAGGAATGGATGGAAAGAGGAGATTGTTGAAGAGCCCCAAACTGGGAGTTAGGGCAACCAAAGTAGAGGCTTGTATCGAGTCCTCCTTGCCTCAGAGCTGTCCTGGGTAGCGGTTGGGGAGGGCTGTGAGGGAGGGGAGGGCAGGGGGGACTGCCCAGCTGGAAGAGGCCTTGTCTAATTGTGCCTGATTAGTAGAGAGGAAGAGAACAGGGCGAGTGATTAATAGTCACGGCAGTCACCAGCGTGTGGGGAAGGAGGACTGGGAGGGGGAGGGGAGCCTGAGAGCCAAGAGGGGATGGAGACAGCGAGGTACCCACGGGACCTCCTACCCTTCTAGGGGCTGTCTGTACCTTTGATCCTGGGGAGTCCTACAACCAGGAGCTGGGACCTCTGCCTCCACTCCCTGAGGGATTCCCTCCTCCTTCCAGCCTCATCATTGAGGCAGGGGCACGGAAGAGAAGAGAAGAGAAGAGACCAAGGTCATGTTTGCCTCTGGGAAAAGAAATATCTGCGTTCACACGATGCTTTCAGATATCCCAAAGCTGCCAACCCCAAGGCACTGGCCCCATCCTCAGTTTAACCTGGAACCTCGGCTTGACTTCCAATCATAGCCCACAACACATCATAAGTATATCCTTTAGTCCCATCAGTAATTCTAGCCCTGCCTCAGCCAGGCAATCTGAGCCTTATTCACCTATGTTGTCCAAGACAACATGCATTAGTAGCACATGCCAAATCACATTTCAAATGCTCAACAGTCATGCGTGGCTAGTGACTACCGTGTTGGACAATGCAGACATAAGATGTTTCCATCACCACGGAAGGTTTATGGTCTAGTATATGTGCACATATGTACATACATCTGTACATGCTTGCTAGGGAGGGCTATAACTGCAGAGGGGGGAGTGAGAGTCAAGGGCTATGGGCGGTGTGGGGGGGGGGGGAGACTAGAGAGATGGAAAGCAGTGTCGTTCTGGAGCAGGGATCAGAAGCCATCGGGTGATGCTGAGCACGGTGAGGTTAAAAGATGGTCAGGAGCCGAGGTAGTGGTGTGTGTGGCAGCTGATGCTGGCATACTGTGTGCATGCCAGGCAGTGTGCTAAACTCTTCAGGCATCTTGTGCTCACAGCCTCCCCGTAGCCTAGGAAATGAATACACAAATGGATGCTCGTGGGGGCATTTTGCTTTCCTCGAGGCCACGGAATTGAACAGAACTGAGGTTCAAGTCCACACGCTCAGACAGCTCTGGAACTCTCGCTTGGTGTGCAGTCGTCCCCCCCCCCCCGCTGAGAGGAGACGCTGGCTTTTCGAGCCACCTTTGCGTTGCACAGATCAAGCAATGAAGGCCAGGCAGAAAGCGATTGCCTCCTACCAAGTCGACTGGCTGTGAGCGAGCCATGATGGGGGAGGTGGAACTGGGGCTTGGCACACAGTTGGGGGACAGTGGAATCAAGAAGGAAGGAAAGAGCCCTCTATAATGGGGTGGTGGAGAAGGTCTGAGATGGGAGTGGGCAGGGTGGGGCTGAGTGGATGAGAAAACAGATGAGAAGAGCCAGGGGCCAGCATGGAGGACAGGGGTGTGGAAAAGCCCTGCACCCTCAGAAACCTTGCCCTCTTCACTCCTCTTCTCTCTCCTCTCCAAACCTCAGGCGGGCTGCCTCATCTTTTAAGCCTCCCCAGCCCTCTTTTAGCCCAGAGTGGCCTCTCTCTCTCTCTCTCTCTCTCTCTCTCTGAACTCGGACTCTTACCAGCCATGTACCCCATCTGGCAATTAATCCTGGCACCTTGTGACATTGCTTGCATGGCTGATTAACTCTTGCATGGTTGCTTAAGCTTTTGAGCACCCCTGTCCCTGTTCTTCCATGAGACTGAAGGCATCTTGAGGGCAGGGGCTGAAGACGAGGGCTTCCCCTTCTTTGCTGTCCCCCATAGGTCCTGGCCAGGAACCCAACATGTGTAGGTACACAGAGCAGCATTCTGAGTGGCTGACTCGGGTAAATGAAGGGATATTTGGGAGCGTGGGGGTGAGAGTGATTTCGCTGGTACCAGAAGCAAGAGCAGAAGCATAGGGGACTGGGGGAGGGCACATTACCCAGAGTAAAAATAGGCTGGAAAATGTGACATTTATTAACTTGGATTCCGGAGGAAAGGTCACAGCAGAGTGGGGAGTGGGAAGGAGGAAACAGGGAAAGCAACAGAAAACACATAATGGTCCCTTGCCGAAGCCTGTCTGTCACAGCCACTGGCCATATCACCACCCACTCCCTGGCAGGTGCTACCCCAACTGGCTTGCATTCTCATCTCCTCACCAAAGACCCTCAGATCCCCGTCGCATAACCCATATCCTCACCACAGAGCTGATATGGACCCCATGTCCACCCCAGAGGCCTGGAGTCTTTACTTCCTTCTCCAGTCTCGTTCAGGCAAGGCATCCCATCTTCTGCCTCGTCAGGGACCCCTGCCTAGTTCCTAACTGTTACTCCGGGTCCAGGAGGAATTACATGCAGCAGGTTGGGGATGGGTGTGGGCAGGAGTCTGAGTCTAGGCTAGGGTGGGCATGGGAGAACAGGAATCCCAAAGGGAAACTCTGTCACCACAACAGTGCTTGTTTTGCCCCAGTAGCTCTGATGTTCCTGGGACAGTCCCACAGCAGAGATCCACAAACTTGGACCTCCCTGTCCAGTCCCAGTTACCAGAGGACCTAGGGAATGCTATCCTTGCCCCCTCTGCTTCCCAGTCATCCTCAGGATTCCAGGGACTCTCAGCTTGGATGAAGGGAATCCCTGCCCCTGTCTTCTCTGGACACCTTATCCTAACAGAGACCCTCTGTCACCTAACCTTCACTCCCTAAGTGCCCTCTATCTCTCCTCCATTGATGTGTGTCATCGTTACCCTTCCCTTTTCCTGCCCACCCCAACAGACGCTAAGACACAAATTGAGGGACACAAAGACCCCATTGATTTCTGTCCCAGCAGCACTTGCTGAGGCTGAGTGCCTCCCCGCCCCCATCACAGAGGGGTGAGACTGCAAGACAGGAGTCCCGTGGACCCCAAAGGCCACCCTCATGTTCCACACATCACCTCCTTTTTAGGGACCCTCTCAGCTCTGGTTTTGGTATTTCATTTTCCTAGAAGACAATGTTTAGCTAGACAACAGGCTGGTATTCCCTAATTCCGCTCCTGGTACAATCTCCTCCCTTCTGCCCCTCTTTTCAAGTTAATTCCTCCCACCCACTGAACCCACCCACACAACCCAAAGCAAGAGGCCCTAGACACTGCAGACATGGTGGGGCCAGGAACCTGGTTGGTGCATGTTTCCTGGTAACACTGAGGCAGGGAAGGAAAGCTTGCGGGTAAGGAGCTAGGCTCCTAAGAGGGAAAGTACCCATTGCCACTGGAGACTGGGAGTAAGTGGGCACCAGGTTGACAACACACATTTGCTCATATGCCAGGCAGCAGTCACTAGGACGAAACCCTCTCTCTCTCACACACACACACACACACACACACACACATAAAGACAGACATCAGCTGGGGACTGGGGACAGGCATCTCAAGCACACTGTGAATAATAGCTTTGAGTGTGGGTGAAAGGAACCCTGACAGACCTGACAGAGTGCAAGACACACCCTGCACACTCACACACCTGACTGTGGGAGGTGTGCAAGCATAGCATGCAGAGCTGGCACTCCACTTCTGGTGAGGGTACATGTGTGTGTATTCACGTACGTGGAGGCGACGGTGACAGTTGTCTCTGCATGGAGGACGGAGGGAAGAGGTTGGGATAGATTGGGGAGTGGTGTCAGGAGCTGGGACGACATCCCAAGCATGACCCCATCCTTGGCAGCTATGAGCTGGGGTACAGGCATGGAATGAATAGCTCTCTCGGCATGTGGGTGTGCAGGTGTGCATATGGATGTAGTGACAGGGACACTGAATGTGCATGACAGGGAAGCATGCAAGGAAACTATGTCCCTGAGCCGTAGGAGTGTGTGTGTTCATGTGCCAGCTCCGAGGGTGAGTTACGCACATAGAGGGAATGAGTGGTTCCCAGTGTGAGAGTCAGAGCCAGGCAAGGGAGCAGCAGGAACAGGGGCTGCAGGGGTGGGGGCACTGGCAAGCAGGAAAGACTAAGGGGAGCATGAAAGAGGGATGTGTGCGGGCGGCTGTGAAGGGTGTGTGTGAAAGACAGGGAGAGACGGAAGAGACTGGAACCCAGTATACTCGAAGACCATCTCCATCCAGCTGGCTGGCTGGGCCAGCTCCCCAGAAGGCAGCCCTGAGTCCTTCCTTTGACAGGGACACCTCTCCCCTCTAGCCACCCCCTCTCCCGTCACTTTCATTTGCTGGGAAGAAGAATCCAGTAGCCCCCCGAAGAAAAAGAGAACAAGAGCAAAGTAGCATTCAGTCTGCCTGGCCTTGGGATGAAGACCAGCTTCAGGCCCTGGGCCCATCCCCAGGAATGGCCCTGGCCCCCAACCTTGAACACTGCAGCAGCAGCAAACGCAGAAGAGGAGCTGTACCACCAAGGGTAAGCCCTTCTGAGCATCCGCTGCTCCAGGGCTGAGGAGCCAGAGGGAAACACCAGCTGGGGGAGACACGAGGCCTGCCTCTGGTGGCAGAAGGAAGGGAAGCCCTGTTGAGGATGCCCTCAAGTACCACCACCCTCCTCCCCCACTTGGGCCTCGGGCCACCCCAGGTTAAAGTGACCGAGCTAGTAGAACTCACCACGGAGAAGTTGCTGGCGGAGCAGTGGTGCCCACTGAAGTTGCAGCTCTTGAGCATGTCAGCAAGCTGGTGGCCAGTGCGGTTGAGGATGTCTACCATGTCGGGCTCTGGGTAGCGAAGGCCAGCCGCACGGTGCCCATCCCGGTCTTTGGGGGGCAGCCCTGTCAGATTGGCCAGGTGGAAGATATCAGCATCGCTGAGTGCTGAATGCCGGAAGCGGTTGATGTTGCAGAGGGTGACAGCCGGGAAACCCGCCACTGGGGCTGGGGCAGCAGGGTCCACGGCTACCAGGTGAGGCCGGGTCAGGTAGCCCCTGGCCAAGCTGGCTGCCTGGTATAGGAAGGCAGCCAGTGAGGTGAGTAGAGCCAGTGCCCAAAGGGTTCTGCGCAGTCCATGGGGGCCTGGGGCACAGGCCCGGCCCAGCCCATGCAGAGTGCTGGTGCTGGCAAAGGTGGCCAAGTCCCGAGGGGCTGTTGGCCCCTGAGCAGCCCCCAGGAGGCTCTGCTCATCCCCTGCCTCCTTCTCCTTGGGTTTTGCATCCTCCTCAGCAAATTTGATTTTGCACACAATCTCGATCGGCATCTGTCCCCGGCTGCTGGGACTGGCCAGAGCCTCACTGCTACTGTCCCTCCCTGGACAGTAGCCCTGGTGCCCTCCGGAGTGGTGGTGGCGGCAGCAGCTGCTCTTCTAAACTCAGGGCAATCAGGAGGAGGATGGGGACAGGGTGGGGGCCCGAGGTGGGGGCGTCACTCCCACTCCCAGCAGCTCCGCAGCCCCGGTGCTGCCTCTGCCGCTGCTGCCTCTGCTGCTGCTTGTCTCTCTCCTCGATCGTCTCCTTGTGGCTTCCCTTATCAGCACCAGCACAGCTGTCAGCCCCTGCGTGTGTCCCTGCGAGCAAGCGAGTGAGCGAGGGAGCAAGCGCTGCTCCGCCACGCCGCGCAGCCCCAGCCGCTCCGCTCAGCATGTGCTCTGGAGCCCACCCCGTGCTTAATAATTCAGGACATGTCAACAGCGTTTCACCGTCGGGCACTGGCACGGGAACCAGGAGCCAGGCCAGGGGAGGGAAAACCCCCGCCCTACCCCAGCCCAGGATGGAGAGCCCAGGATTAGGGGTGCTTCTGAAACTCTCGCTGGTACCTTAGTCAATTGTGGGGGCCCCAGAGAGTCCAGTCTCAGGCCATTCGGGCAATAATGCTATGCTCAAGGTGCTTAGCCCACTCCTTGACACTTTTTCTGGACCACACCCCAGGAAGGGCCAATCAACTCTGTTCCCCAGCTCCTGGCTTCCCTGACTCCTGACTTCAGCCTTCGGCTGATCTCACTGCCCCAATCGCAGCAGCTTCCAGAAACTCCTTGAGAGAGCCACTTGTTTGAGTGAGGGAGGGGAGGAAGGGGAGGGCGGCAAGATTAAGAGACAACTGTGGCTTCACTCAGACTCTCCTTCCCTAGAGCCTTGCTGATTCCAACACCCACCACACCCCTACTCATTGCGGGGGCACTGGCTCCTTTTCTCTGACTTTGCCCCCAATCCCAACATTCTTGTGACTGGAGTCGAGGCTGCCCTGGCTGTCCTGCTCATCTGGGGCCACTTTACTAGCTTATAGTCTCCAAATCCCTTGCTATGCGTGACCTGGCTTGGAGAAAAGGAGGGGAGCTGGAGGAGCAAGGAACTCAGAGGCAGGGGAGACGGAAATGAGGAGCAGGGGGGAGGGGGCATTAGAGGGAATGGGAGGATGAATGGGGGCGTCAATGGAAATCGGCGCTAAGGATACCCTGTCCCCTGGCAGAGCCAGGCAGGGAAGCCCTGCAGACTGCTGTCTGGGAGGAGGAGTCAGACACATGGGCCATCACCACAAGAGGAGGTGGAAGCCCCTCTTGGCTCACCAGGTGTGTGGGGGAATACGTTGGTACCTCCTGCTTGGGAGTAGCAAGAATAGTCCACTTGTGCCCCCCGGGGGTGTGTGTGTGAAAATGTGAATCCTCATGGGGGGGAAAGCACTTGTTCTGGGAGGAAAGGGGGGCTGATTAATCGGGGCGCTAATGAGCAGCAGGGAGAGGAAGCTCAGAGGGGAGGGGGAGGCAGCTCCATCGATCCAAACCGCGGAACCAGCAGCTGAAAAAAAAAAAGTGAGAAGGGAATCGATCTGAGGGAAACGGCAGCTGCTGGGGATTAGAGCCCGAGGTCCACGCGCTGCCCAGCGGCCACCCCTCCCCTGCGCCAGGCTGTCCCCGCAGTCTCAGCCTGGCCCAGAGGGAGGGTCCCAAGAGTGGTTCCCTTGGGTTCAAGTTGCTGCTCAGCTCACCCTGGCTGCAAGGCTAGGTCAGGCTTCTCGTGGGGGTCACTCCAGTGTGGAATCCACCTCCATACCGGGTGCTAGCCATGCATGGTGATCTAACTAGATGTCCCCAACCTTTCAGCAAAGTGGCTTCCCAGGGCCACAGCTGGGTTTCCCCACAAGCTTCCCATGAGTCCAGGTCAGCGGGCTCCCAAAGCTGGGGAGATAAGACCTCTGGGGATAGGTTCAGGTGCGCTTCTGACTGGGACACGGCAGGAGAAAGTAGAGTTGGCACTGGCAGCAGGTGCTGAGTTCCTATGCGAGGGTCCAGGTGACCGCAGACAGCTCCCTCTCTACCCCATACCCTGGCAGTACTCTCCATACTCCCCCCTCCCTGTTCCATCCCCAGACCTTTCCAAAGCCCCACCCCCACCCCACCCCACCCCAGCCACCTACACACTATTCCCCCTTTCCTCCTCTCGCTTCCCTTTTCTCCTGATATCGATTTTTCTTTACTGGGTTTTTTTTAAAAAAGGTGATTTAATTGCTTTTTTAAGGTTACTTCAGTCTGGGGCTCTGCCAAGAAAGTGGGAGCTGCCCCCCAGTCCCTGCCCAGCGCTCACTACTGCCCTGACAGCCTGTTCGAATTCCTGGCTATCTGCAGAGATCTCCGGGTCAAGCTGTCTCCATCGCACGCTGACCTCCATCATGAGCCCAGATAACACCCTCTCCTCCCCTCCAGTTCAGCAGGGGCTTTTCCACCTTTAACAGGAAAGAGGTTGGGTGCTAACTGCAGGGGAGGGGGGCGAGGCTGTGGGGGACTACAGGCCACTGGAATGAAGCAGCAGTTTGTTGCATGCAGCAGACTCCCACCATTGCCCGGTGGCCAGCTGTCTCCAATTGTCCCCAAGTCCCCACAATCCAGTCTCCCAGACCTCTTGGAATCTGGTTATGCTCAGTGGGGGGCCCTCATCCTTCCAGCCCATCCCTTGCTGTTTTCCACCCACTCCTCCCCAGCCCCTTCTGGTCCCCTTCCTATCTCTCCGCACCCCCTTCGCCTCTGGCCCTGTCCCCTCTCTCCCCCTCTCCCTGCTTCCCTGCCTGCCTCCTTCTCTGCCCGGCTGCAGTTGGGTGATAATCTCCCTCATTTAGCCTCCCGGCTGCTTCCCCGGCTCATTGCCCAGCTGGTCCCTGGGGCCCGGCCCAGTTTCTTCCCCACCCCCACCCCCAGCCCTGCGCCCAAGCTCCCTCAGCCCCTCCCCTTTTCTCTCACCCATTCCCAGGGGACCAGCTGCCCCTTGCAGGGAGGGAAAACAGGGCTGAAGGGAGCTGACTGGGATCTAAACTGGTTGTGAGCAAGTGGGAGGGGCTTCTAGGGATTCCAGAGCTGGGTGTGTGGGGAGGGGCTGCCGTTCCCGCAGGACGTGAGCCCCACCCAGACTCTTCTACCCTCCAATTATTCCCATTTCTCAGATTTGTTCACAGTCCAATTCTATCCACCCTGGGTCGTACATTGGGCTTCCTGACATTGGGAAAGAGAAAGGCAGCGAGCAAGGGAGGCAAAGGTTAGAGTACCTTGGGCTAGCCATGTCAGGGAAGAGGTGGAGGCTGCAGGAAGTGCGGGATGGATTCGCCAGGGTGGACTGGGAGGATGCTTAGAGCTTGAGATACTTGAGCAAAATGTCCCCAAGGGGAGACCCAGGCCTCCCAGAACTCAACCTAAAGGGATTCTCAGGGAACCTCTTTACAACCCAGGGACACCTCCAAAGGAAGCTGTTTCTGTTCCTTCCTATCATGTGTGGGCTCCCGACTCCCTGGCTGGCTGGCTGGCTGGCTGGCTCTATTCATAAACTACACAACCTTTGAACTCTTAAGGAGCATTCATAGATCGAATCCCCAGCCTCCTGATCCCAAGGGACACCTCCTTGCCACCCGCCCGAGCTCAGAAACCAGGACCTGGTGCTGACCAGGGGGTGGGAAGCCAGTGTGGGACAGACATGGGTGAGAAGGGACAAGGATGGGGGGGGGTCTGGCCGGGCCAAGCCTGGCTGGCGAGCGAACAGCGGTGACAAACGGGCTGTGCGGGGGCCGAGGGGCGGGGGGCGGTCGGCGGCTGATTTATCTGGGTTATTTATGCCACGGACGAGGCAGGAGAAGCGGTTAATGAGAGTCCCGGGGAAGGGGGATGGGGAGGCCCAGACGTGATCTTCGGCAACAGAAGAGGGTTAGCGTCCCACGGTCAGGCCCTACCCCCATTGTCACCGGTACTCTCTGCACCCCCCCACACAAGGCCCTCCCTGGGCTATCCCAGGGAAGCACACCGTCTAATTGAGCATTCTCAAGCGGAGGTCGTTGGTCCCCAGGAATGGAGAGGTTGGGGTTCAAGATTAGAGGAATCTGGAAGAACTAGGGAGGGAACATGGAAAAGGGGGCAGGAAGAAGAAGAAAGGTACAAATCCTGACTGGCCAGAAACAACGAAGTTTGAGAGGTCAGTGGAGAGGGAGGCCTGAGGTAGAAGGGGAAGGTGGGAGTGGGTGGGTATCTTCCAGACTCTGAGCTAAGGCTGGACAGAGGGCAGAGGGCCGTCAGCCAGGGAGCCCCGAGAAGGGGGTCTGGGTGACAGAGAGGCTAGACAGGAGGGGGCGCCGGTCAGAGAGCAGAGAGAGAAGGAAGGAGAGAGAAGATCCCGAGGAGGAGGGGGAGAGGGCTTTGCAGCAGCGAAAGCTGCTGGGAGCAGATAAGGCAGCTCGGCAGCAGGAGGGATTAAAGCTCTGAGGGGCATGGTGGGGGGGGGGGTGCCGGGGGGGATGATGGGAGGGGGGCAGGGAGGAGAAAGTTGAGGGCAAGACACCCGGCCAAGGAGGCGAGCAGGGAAATGAGATCTTTGAGGAGGCAGGTTTAATCAGGAGCTATTAACTAGGAAAGGAGAAAGAAGAAACTCTTGATCATCCGTTCCGGGGAGAAGGACTTTCTTGTCATGGACAGAATCTTACACCCCACACACGCCCGGGGTGGCATAGCTAAGCCAACCGATGAACTGAGGAGGGTAGAGGACTACCGGATAATAGCGTTGGCAGAGGCTGGCCCCAGGAGCTGCTCAGAACAGGTCTAGAGAGACTAAGAGCACACAGTGCCTCCTTGTGGTGTCCTGTGGAACACAGGCGAGCCACAGGAATAGTCGGTGGTCCACTGGCGTGGAGACCCCACCTGTCTAGGGGTAGGTCTCCTTATGGGGAGGGGTACAATCCTGGAAAAAGGGTAAGTTGCTTCTCAGGGTGAGCCCCCGAGGCATCCCTTACCGTCTCTTGCTCAACTAGAAGGGTGTTCTTGGTGCCAGTGAAGCCCCTCTCTCCCCCAGACCTAGCCTAGGACAGTTCAGAGCCGGCCTTGGTGACAGAAGGCAGCCTTGGGGGGAAGGAAAGGAAAGAGAGGGGGCTGCGGGAGGAGAGCGGGGGTGGCAGGCGGGGCTGGGTAATTGCGTGTTTGCCAGTTCTCAGTCTCTGCACACGAGGGAGCGTGTGTTGGTGGGTGTTGCTTCACTTTGAGGAGTGTCTGTTGGCAGAGGTGTCAGGGTGTCTATCTCAGGGGTCTGGGCTCTCCTTGGTTCCCGCCCTCTTTGTGTTTTGGGGAGTATGGCTCTGGGCACACCCAGCTGTGTTCCGTGCTGATGCGGCAGATGTGGCGGGCCCCAGCTGTGCCTACTTCCCAGAGAGGGGGAGGGGGCCGCAATCTGCTCCCCTATAATGGCTGCTAAGTGCCAGGGGAAGGAACTAATATAGAGGTAGGATTGGGCCCTGGGCAACCCCAGCAAGAGGACATGAGGAAAAGAGGGCACTGCCTCCCACACCCAGTCCCGCTCTGACCAGGCCCCCCCACCCTACCCAATGTTCTTGGCTCATCCTGTCTTGCTTGCTCCTGAAGCCCATCCTAATTTTTCTCCATACTCAGTCCCTGTCCTCAGCTCTCCTCCCCTGTTGCCCCATCCAGCCTGATGCCAGGGACCCACCCCCTCCCCGGCCCCCAGCTCGTTCCCCTTCGCTGATTTTACAGAGTAATCTTTTTATGGAAACTGGGGGGAAAAAAAGCACTAATGGCAGAAGCACACCCCCCCCCCGCATCCCCCCCCCCTGCTCCCCCCCACTTCCCACCCCAGTTCCTTCTCAAACCCACCCCGAGCCAGTACCCTCCTACACCTATACCTCCATGAGACCAAGGCTGGGTGCGGGTCCCAGCCTAGCAGACAAGGGGGCTCCCTGCTACCTCTTGAGACAGGGTGCTCCCGTATTATGGGGTGTGAGTTGCCCCTTAGACAGATGGGGAGAAGTGGGGGGCATCGTCCCCCTCACCGTTAAGATACTTTGCATGAGTGACCCCCTCAGCCTGGGGAATGTTTTGAAGGGTTCAGCTTCCCTGCCTCACCCCACCTTCAAACACTGACCCTTCCCCTCCGAGTGCCTCCTGCCATCATGTCTCCACCCCCACTAGGTCTAGGAGGGGGGTCCCGGGGGCCAGGGCCTGACACAGACTTATTGGATTTCACGGTGTTTTGCTGAGAAAATAATTAAATTATCATATTTATGATGGAGCTGCCATGGCCTCTGCCAACCACTTGGAACAGAAGGGTCAGGATAGGGGGAGGAGAGGAAAGGGACCCAGAGCCTGGCCTTGTGGTCCAACCCTCTCCTAGCCCCTTCCTCAGGGAGGTGACCCCAGGCTGAGCAGGTCTGCAACTCTCTGCTGATGGTGATGAGAGGTCTCGGCTGGGGGCAGGTGGGAAGAAACCAGGGAAAGGGACTGTGGAGCCGCAGGTTACAGGTTAGGACTAAGACCCTGGGCCATCTCCCATGGCTGTCTCCCAGCTCTCAGGACCCAGGAGGTCACATCTAGGCCAATCCCCAGGTCAGCCTTGTTCTAGTTCCCATATATCTTTCTAACTGCCTGCCTAGGAAGCTATGAGATCCTGGGCTCTGTCCCGACCCTGGTGTTGACAAGACCCGGACACCCTGCTGCCTGCCACCCAAGCTGGTTGCCAGGACCCCCTTCTGTCTCCCACCCAAACCCTGCCCCCCTATTCTCTTCGGGTAATTAGATTCCTCTCAATTAGCAGATTACGATCATTACCAGCTCATCTGGCAACTAAGCTCAGCACCCACAGCTGTGGAAAGGGGGGTGCCAAGAGGGGCACACTGGGGTCATGGGCAAACATGAGAGATGTGTGAAGAGCAGGGCTATGACCTGCCAGAAGGTTTGAGGCTGCCAGAAGGTGACAATGCAGCTCCTAGACGAGAGAGCTCTGCCAGAGGAGTGGGAGACAGACCCTGGGAGACCCCTGGGTAGGGGCAAAACCCCCAACTCCCCAAAGGCAGTCTGGGAGCAGATGGAGCTGGCAAAGCGTTAAACAGGCCAGGGCTGGGTCTTGGCAGGAGCTGAGGAGAGCGGGCTGCTGGGTGTTCAGTCTGGGCCCAAGCCTCCCAGCAAGTGTGCCCACTGAAATCCCGCAGCTTTCTCTCGGCATTCTATAAAGCCAGGCCTGGGGAGGCAGGCAAACAGGGCGAAGGTCAGGGGGCCAGCAGGCCAGGGAGCCTGGAGGGTCTCCCTCTAAAGCAGCTAGTGCAGAAGGCTGAGGCAGTGGGTGGGAGGGGGAGATTTACCAAGACTCTGGATTCATTATTCATGAGCCAGCAGCAAGGACTCCAATTTAAATGCTAATGTGGGGGGGCCTGACTCAGCTGCCCCTCTTGTACCTCCACCCCCAGCCCAGGCACAAGCGGAGTCCAAGCTGGCTCCAAGGTTCATAGGGGTTTATTTGGGAGTGGGGAGGGAGGCCAGACGTCCTGGGCCACCTTGCAAGGGAGGATTCTGCCTGGTTTCCTCAGATTCTTTCTGGACCAAGCTGGCCAGGTAGGCAGTAGCCCAAAGGTGAGTGGGCAGGAGTCCTGGAGGCCTTTACACAGCACCCTCACAGGATGATTTGGTTGGTGAAGCTTCGACTCAGCTCCTTGTGTGGCAGAACAATCGAGTTCAAGATGAGCACCTCGGCAGGGATTCGGACCCGGCAGCCTGAAACATGGGCGAGGGCACCAGGAGCAAGCAGGTCATGAGAGGTGATGGGGCAGGAAGCCTGGGCCATGGCTAGGCCATCAAGAGGGGGCCCTCCCTGCCCATCTGTGCTCCTGGTCTCAGCCCCCAGTGACTCATTCAGGCTGAGTACATGACAGGATCTTGGTAAATGTTTGCTGAAAGAATACACACACACATACACGCACACACACACACACACACACGCATGCACACACATGCATGATACATACAAGACATCACCTGTGGAGCTTCCCAACTCTCACCCCTAACCCCCCACAAACCATACCCAGAATAGTAATGGCAGGAAGTAGCTTTCCATCCTTGAAGAGACTCTCACTGTCCATGCGAGCTCTGGGGTCATTGGGATTAGGGTCATTGGGAGTCCCCTCTACGCGGGCCCAGCGCCCCACAGTGCTTCCCCAGCCCACGATACTGTGAAGGACACAGGTGTGCTCCTGTCAAATAGGATGAGTCAAGGTGAGTGGAGTGGGAGGTAGGTATAAGAATGTGTGGAAGGGAGATACAGAGCCTAGGACTCACCCTCCTTGCCCTGGGAGGCATCCCTGGGCCCTCCCCCTCAGCCTTTTTGGGTACCACACACTACTGTGCGCCTGGTTCCTACCTGCAAAGTGGCGCCATGAAGGACAATGCTCTCTCGCAGACGCACACCCTCGCCCAAAGTCACCCCCTTCCCAATGGAGACATTGGGGCCCAGCTGTGGAGAGGACCATCAAACCATGAGAATGAAGGGACGTGGGGATGCTCAAGGCCACATAACAGGTGAGCCAAAGCAGAGAGACGGATCAGCACCTGAACTCAGGCCCTGGGTATCCCCACCAATCCCAACAGCCTCTCCCTGAGGTTGGGGCCACAGCTTACCACAGCGGACGGGGCCACTTTAGCAGTTGGATGGATGTAAACGTTTCCTAGAAGTGGAAGAAACAACCCGGGGTGAAGCCTTCACTTCCACACCCGAGGTGAAGAAGAGTGTAGGCTCCCAGGGTGTGGGACAGTAAATGGCAATGATGGGATGGGGTGGTACCTCTGATTCGTGGGCCCCCTGGAGTGTGTTTGGCTAGCCGTTCTGGGTGAGTGATCTGGTATCGGCTCAGATAGAGACGGGAGGCATAGAGAGCTGAGCTAGGGGCCGGGAAAGGAGTGAGACACTCAGGGTCCAGCAGGACCTGTGCCTACCATCCCAGAGCCTCTCTCAGAGCCTCAAGATCAGAGGCAGTCTCTTCCCGAACCCCACATACCCTGCAGACTTGATCTGGCTCCAGATACCATCAGTGAGGTGTACATAGATTTGGCCCTGCCCGGCCAGGGCTGAGAAAACATCCTGCTCCAGTCGGATGGTCCCTGCCCCAGGCCATGAGCCTGGAGATTCCTCTCTGGCCAGGAAAGAAAGAAGAGACCTAGCTGAGGTCTCTTCAGGAAGGAACTGAAGGGGCTTTTGCTATCTCTTCGAGGCCTTTAGCTTGGCTCCTCTATCAAGGTCTATCCAAATTCTAGGGACTTCCACTACCCTTGATAGACTGCTTTCACTGGGGAGCCCCATGCCTAGCTGGATCCCACTCCTCCCATCCTTGCCCATGCCCGCCTTCCCCCCATTCACCCAGCTAGTTGCCCTCCCTCACTGGATGGCACAAAAAAACAAACTCACCCCAGAGCAAGGCAGCTGGTGAGGGCAGAGACAGTCACAGAGAGAGGGGGAAAAAGAGATGGTAGAGATGCCAGCTCAGCGGAAACAGAGACAGAGAAGCCAGGAGAGATGGGGAGAAGCAAAGACATGGTGGAGTGAGAAATGGTTGTCAGCAAATGAATGAGGCGTGAGATGGGATCTGGGTGGGAGAAGCCTAGGAGGCAGCTTTCAGGCTTTGGAAGGACAAACCTCACATGAGCAAGCAGGTCTCTGGGCAGCCTGTGTGTGTGTATGTGTGTGTCTGCACTTGAGCACATGGGCACCCAAGTGTGTGTTGCCGTCTGTTCTAAAAGATATCTCTGGGACATCCAGGGCTGGAGGGAAAGGGACCAGAAGGGGAATAGGCAGGCAGTGACAGAGGAGGAGCTGGGGTGTATAAGGAAGAGGGACAGAATGGGGTTAGAAGGGGAGGGGCTTAGGGAGGCTAGCTAGAGAGGACAGTGGGAAAGGGCAAAGGGAGAGAGAGTGAGCAGGGTGGCATGAAACCTACAGAGCCTGGCAGGGGGCAGGAGTCTGGGTCTAGGATGTTTAGGGTTGGGTCCCAGGGTCATGGAGGCTGCCTCACAGTTGCCTATCCTGTTGATTACGCTGGAAAACATCCCGAAGAGGCTTCAGGGCTTCTGGGGAGAAAAGGTAGATGCCACAGTTGATGATGTCACTGATAAAGGTGCTGGGTTTCTCCACATAGTGTAGGACCTAAGGACGTGAAAGCAGAAAGGATAGTGGAGGGCGGACCACCACCACCACCACAATCTCACGCTCTCATTTCCAGGCCCAAAGGGTAGCTCACCCCTTGTCTCTATCCGGCTTTCCACCCCCAGAGGGCTACCTGCTCTAACCTCCCTAAACCCTAGCATTGCAGGAGCACAACTCCAGGCCACTGGGATGTCCTTCCCTCTTCCTCTGAAAAACCCACCTTTAGAAACCCAGCTGACATTTTACCCCTCAGTCCTCTCCTGCCAGTTCCACTTAGCTATTCGGGCCTGTCACCCTGACCTCTAGACGTACCTCACTCAGGCCACTGTGCCATTTCTAAGGATTGACCTCTGACTCTTTTTCCTTCAGTGGGGTAGGAAATGTATTCTGTGGTTCTGTTTCTCTCATGTCTAGCTGGTGCCTGCCTCAAAACTGCGTATGTATGCATGCACATACATGTACATTACATGCATGTTTTATATATATTAAACTATGAATAAATAAAATGGTTCTTGTGTCAAAGTCAGTGAGATTCAGGGACAGGGATTCTCACAGACAGGGACAATGACCCTCTTGCCATAGGGAGTATGCTCCTACCTCAATAATTATGGCGCATCATGCACCTTCTGCCTGTCTTTGCACAAACTGTTCTCTCTGCCTGCAAAACCTTCAGTCTTCTTCGTCTTCTCAAATTTAACTCAGCTCACCCTGCTCCTGAAGGAAGCCCTGTCCCCCACCTCAAGCCATTGTCGGGCCTCTCTTCTGTGTTCCATAGTGCCCTGTGCATACATTTATTAAGACATCACACCTACAGAAATGAACCGGCAGCCTGTCCCCCGTCATTTTCTCTTAAAGGGTTACAAGGGAAGGGTAAGGGTACAGTACCCACACTGTCCTATCCACTTGACATGATGGGGTCCACCTTAGAGTGTTCTCAGCATTCTCTAGGGGTATAGGGGCTGATCTTGCAGAGGCGTGCCCAGCCCCCATTCTGCTCTCACCTCGTGCGTCTGTGGATTCTCAACAATGCAGCCATAGTTGAGGGATTGTGTTCTGTTAGCCTGAGAGACAGACATATCCGAGACAGTGACCTGCCTTCTCCAGGGCAGCCGAGGCTGTTTTCTCTCCCTTCCTTTCCTTCCCCTCTAACACCTGGCACGCAGCTCTGACACTGACAGGCCTTTAGCAGTCAGGAGCTGACAGCTGCCCTCCCTCTTCCTACTTCCCAGCAACCAAAGGGCTCAGGGTTACCAATGACACCTCCATTCCCTTAGGGGCAGCACATCTCCCTCCCAGCAGTCATTCCTAGAGTAGTCCCAGCCTCTCTACAGCCTTCACCCGCCCGGTTCTCGCTCCCTCTCACTGTGGTGCCGAGGAGTAAGAAAGGGTGGCGCTGGCGTCGGTGGGCATCCAACATAGCACACAGGGGGAAGTCAGAGCAGACGTCAGCATTGAGCACGAAGAAGGCCTCAGGTGCCCCAGCCAGGATCTGGTCCCGGAAATGGTAGAGACCACCCCCTGTGCCAAGGGGAGCAAACTCCTGCAGGTATCTGTCCCCAGAAACCCCAGCCAACTCAGTGAGACACCATGAGCCAGGGTACCAGACTCCCCCACCCCCAATACCTCTGCCCTTGTCAGAAGTACAGGCCAAGGCCTGCAGAGAAACCTTATTTTAAGCAATTCTGATGACCAAAATAAGAATTCCCTTGGGTATGGGATGAACCCTGACAAATACTGACTCAAACCACTCCAAGAACGTCGAGACTAAGATACGTGTGTGTGTGTGTGTGTGTGTGCAGTGTGTGTACGTGTACACACTCATGCATTCAAACACCTGACTGGAAGGTTAAACTCCTGCTGGGCAGCTTCTAGGAACTGGGTGAGGGCCTCATCAGGCTGGTAGAAGCCAATGAGCAGAATCTCCTGCATCCCAGGAACCTAGGACAAGAGAAGAGGTCGGGAGAGAAAAATTCTGTTGGAATTAGGGGAATCTGGTCCAGAAGTCCAGAGGACACAAGTTCAGCTTCAGCTGTGTGTCCTGGGTAATCATCCATCCTAGCCTGCTTTTCCTCTGGACAATGCAGAAGTTAGAACTCTCAGCCTAGATCTTTCCATTTCGTTATAGTCTCCCCTGCACCTGAATTGGAACCCACTCTAAGAATGACTTCAGCTACCAAGTTCCATTAACGTATAATCCAGTCATCTTTTCTCCCTTTCCTTATCCAGGATCCCCTCTTTCTCTCTGTACTGGGGACTGAACCTAAGACTTCACACATACTAGACTAGTGCTCTATCTCTGAGCTATATCTGTAGCTCATGTATGTGTGTGCATGCATGGGTGGATACACATGCCCATGTGTATTCGTTCACCTGGAGGCCAAAGGTCAGGTCTCTCTTCAGGAGCGGTCCACCTTGTCTGTGTGTGTGTGCGCGCGCACGAGCGTGTGTGTGTGTGTGTGTTTGTGTGTCACAATCTGAGACCTAATGATAAGGATAGACTGGCTGGCCAAGTAAGCCCCAGACTCCTGCCTGTCTCTACCTCCTCAGTGCTGAGATTACAAGTGTCCATCACCATGACTGGCTCTTTATATAAGGTGATGGGGAGAGGACGTGGGTCCTCGTGTTTCTGCAAGTCAGCACTGTATCAAACGAACCACCTCCCATTATATATTATTCTGAGCTCGATACCAGCCTGAGATGAGGGTATATCGAGGGTCTGCATTGAAGTAGGCATTTTACAGTCTGGCTACTCTGTAAAGGAGGTCTAATCCCTACTTTACAGGTTAGAAAACCAGAGCTCAAAGAAGGTAAAAATTCCACTTGCTCCGGGTCACAGCAGGGAGACTGGACTCAAGCCCAAACCTCACCTATCCCAACTACAAAGCAATGAAGAAAAGGAGCTACAGCCCGGGCTCTGGGCTTTATTATCAATAAAGGCCCCCACGCCATGGCTCTAAATGCTCTTCTAGCTTCCTGCCTGGAGTCACATTCCACACTGTAAAACTAGGTATGAAAGCTAAGCAGGAAGAGGCAGGGGAGTCAACAGGGCGAGCTGCGGCTCTGCACCACCCAAATGGCACCTGTGAATGACAGCCCTTGAAGTTTCCTTGGTGGGAAAGGGTAGACCCGCAGCAGGAAGGAGATGAGCGGGAAGCGTAGTGTGAGAGGAGAACCTATAGGGTTACCTGGGCACAAGCTTCTATATGGTGCTGGATCATAGGGACACCCGCCACAGGAAACAGTGGTTTGGGCACCTCAAAAGACAAAGGCCTGAAGCGAGTCCCTGGGAGAGGAGGGGAGAATAGTTTAGCCTCCTACTTCCTGCTGTCCTAACCCCACCCCCACCCCTCCTCTATTTACCAGCTCCTCACCCTTTTGAGGGCCTCCAATGAGTATCACAGCTTTCAGCATGATGGAGATTGCTACCTAAACCTCAACCGCCAACAGAAGAATACACTCAGACCTCACACTTCAAATCGCAACACGTCGCCCTTTCCTAGGATGCAAACTCAAAAGTTCAGTAGGGTCCTCCCCACCACCACCAATTCCCTGCCAATCCAGAACTGAGTAGCCTTCAAAAACCTGCACCCGACCCTTTTATCTCTAACGACTTCCCTTTGGCAGTGAAGAAACTCTGTAAACTCGGGAACTCAGCGGATTCCCTTCTATGACCCCAAACATCAACAACCTGAACCCTCCATCCCAATAACTCGCAAGCGCCTGCATCCTCTTTCAAGATGTTCAGCTCCGAATTCCAGCGGTGAATATGGAACCACAAAAACCTCGCGTGAGCCCTGGGTATTTCATTTCAATCCTAAGAATGAACCCCGAGCAACGAACTAGCACTAATCTGCATTAGATGAGCACCGATGCTAACAGCTCTGGGTGCTGAATGTGAATCCCACAACTGCATGTGCTAAAACTCATTCAAAGGACAGGTGTCTCTGACATGCCAAACACTACAAGCTCCAGCAGTGCCCGTACTGAGGTCTGGTGCCAAATCTCTGGATTCCGAGGATTGGTTGCTGACCCTCTGGACCCCACAACTGAGTCTGTCCAATAGACGTTAGTTTCTCGTAGCCCAGGGTTATGGAACCAAAATAATCCAGGACATGAAGAGAGCAGAATGGAACCTCCGAGCCCTCCCTACGTCTAGGATCTGTCCCCTGCCCCTACCCTGGCCGCCACCCCTCCACCAAGTAGGTCCTTTTACCACTAGCTCCCTTTACGCCAGCTCTGCCGCCTGCTGCTGCTTGCTCCTTCCGCGTACGTGTCTCCTTACAACTCGCGAGAGCGCCTTCACAAGGGATGCCGGGAGTTGTAGTTTTAAAAAGTCCTCTCCCAACTTTATTATATAGTTTCGTCAAGAGATTGAGGTGCGGACGTATATAAGAAGAGAAAGAGAGAGGTGAAGGTGGAGGCAAAAAAGTTAGGCATGGGAACTAATATGGAGACCTAGGACCTCACAGTACGGGCTCAGGGACTGCGGAGAACTAGGGAGGATCCCGACTAGAGGAGAATTGGGTGTGGTCAGCCTTGGAAGGGGCAGGGGCTGGGGCACCAACAGCCGGGGGACGCCGCGCCTAACCTGAGTCAAAGAAGAGAAGGCGGAGTCTTAGCTCCCGTGTTCGTCCCTCAGGGACGTTTGACACCGAGAGAAGTCCTGTTCTGGATTTACTGTCTGTGAAATGAAGCACCGGGCTAGGCACGCTCTCCTGACGTCCTAGTAACACGCCCATTCTGTGACCTTGGCGGTGGGTCTTGGGATAAGTTCGCAACGGGTGCTGGGAGATTAAAAGGGAACACCACAAAACAGAAAAAAGACTCGGAGGGTCAGAAAGAAGGCAGTTTTATTAAGCAAGACAGAGGAGGGTTTGAGCCCCACCGGCCCCTGGCCTCGCAGCCATGGCAAAAGTTCTGACAGCCACGTCCACCTGAGGAGCAAAAGTGCTAGGTTCCTGCGCAGGTTGCAGCAGCCCGGGGGTGCGGTCCGGCGAATGGTCCACGTGGTTGTGTTGTGTGTTGGTGCCAATTTCAACACCCTGGGGGAGGTGTGGAGAGATGGAGAGTGAAGTTGTGGGTCAATTTACCCGCGTGCATAGTGAGCCTAGTTAATTAGAATACTCTTTTCTTTGCAGTCCAGCGACCCTCATCCTTCTGCAAGGTTTCTGGGAACAGAACCAGTCCTAGAAAAAGCCCTGCTTTTACTGGAGATCCCAGCCCTTTCCTGTCGTCGTATTTGGTGTTCTCTCTGTCTTTCATCCAGCGACCATTCGGAGGAGGCTAGCCCGATATCTGGTCGGGCAGTGTTACTATGGTGTCTTCGCGTGTTAGTGTAATCGTGTCCCTTTTGAATCTTAGCCTGAACTAGATGAAGGGCGGGGAAACCCCACCTAAAAGCAAGATGGGATAAGAGTATCACCTCTCCAACTAATATCTGGCCCAGATGTGCATTTGAATTCACACTATGATATCCGACAAATGACTAGCTTAAGATTGTATCTCTGTAGCTATTAAACAGGGCTTGGCCCTGTCCCTCCTTCTCTGGGTCAAGTAGAAGATCAAAAGAGCTCTCATGGTATTTCGGAGACAGCTTTGAGTAGGGGAACACGCCCTGGGTTAGGAGCCAGAGACTGGATTTTAAATCTTGACTTACTCTGTGTCCTAGCGTGCTACAAAGGGAGCCCAGAGTTGAATTCTCAGTCTGGTTGGAATAAGGTCCTGAAGTTGGAGAGGAGATTGCTAGGACGGTCATGCCCTCCAGTGCGGAGGCTGGGCTTCTCATCACTCTCTGTGGGCTAGGCCCAGCTACAAAGGCACGCCAGCCTGGACCCTACTACTGCAGAGCCGGCAGAGCCGGCAGGGTGGTGCTGTTTTGGACTACGTCGGCACCTGTACCTTCCACAAGGACGCACAGAGTCTGAGCCGTGGCAGAAGGCGCTGGCTAAACTGACCCAGGTAGGCCGACTTGCCCGCATCACCCGGGGCCACAACATCGTGCAGCTCCCTGCATCTTTGCTCCAGCCGATGAACAGGCCCTGGAGAGCTGAAATTCAGCTTGGCTGTGCTGCCTTCACCAGAACTATGCCTTTCAGTGGCTCCAGAACCCCAGACAGGCCTTTCTCCCTCAGTTCTTTCTGAAGCCTACACCCCCTACCACCACCCCAGGTCGGGTCAGTATTCAGAGCTCTCATAATGAAGTCTGCTTCTCATAATGAGTAATGAAGCCTGCTCCTCTCCCCCCTCCCCAGGAACTGTTTTGGACATCTGAAGAATAGACAACAAATATGGGGGGCCAGGCTGAGCCAGAGGTTTTGCATTTTCACCCCACTCCCTACTTAAGGAAAGCACCTGCCTGGGATGAGACTGTCTGAAGCCTCTCCCAGGAATGGACTCCTCTTACAGGGGTTGACTTCAGGACCAGTTGGCTAGCTAGGTGGTTTGTAGGCCACCTCCCTGGATGTCACAGCAGGCGGGGGGAGCAGGTAGGTATTCAGCACCAGGCTCTGATTTTATACACCGTTCCTTTCTTTGCCTTGTTTGGCATGGTTGTCCCCAATCCTCCCAGGAACCCCAGCCCCCACCCACTGGCCCAAGTGGGCTCCTTATTTAGCCCTAGGATGCCTGGGATGAGCTGCTCTGGGATACAGCATCACCTGACTAGCTGGACAGCTGGATATGGCCCATCCCTTTTCAGGGCAAGGGGAACCAGATGTGGCAAATAGGAGACATGGCTTTATACTTATCTCAGCCTCCAGGCAGACATATAATGCGCTCTTATCTTGACAGTGTAAGTTAAAGGAGTACAGGTATTTGTGGAAGTATCCTTAAATACAGCCAAGGTAGCCTTGAATTTCTTGGTCCGTATAGCCAGTAGTGAAAGGACCACATGGCTGTCGAAACAGGTGGGAATGATCAGACCTTTACAGTCACCCTTTACCCCAAGAGTCCTTTTAACGCCATGCCCCCTGGTGGTTAGAAGAAGCAAACCAGCAGGGTGCCGGAAAGATGTTTGAGAACAGCAGCCAACACCCTGACCCCCCAATGTCACCTTCATTCCCGACTCGCTTCCCTCTTTGTGGCAGGATAGGCTCTGGCTGGTCAGTACTGTCCTTGAAGGTTAGCACTATATTGGACTCTCCAACCACTAAGTCTGCTGATGTCCATTAGGGGCCTAAACTGGTGCGGAGGGGCATCAGACAGCCCACGGTAAAGATCCTCTCTCAGGGGCTAGAGTGGAGTTCAGCCTGTGCAGGGCATCAAGTAGAAGCACTGTTTCCACTCACTGTAAGTACTCAGTGTGGGGCATTGCCACCTTCTGATCAGAATGGTTTTGACACCACTCTGCTGACATAAATTACCTTTGCTCCTCCGGGTTTGGAACAGGCAGTACACATGCCATTTCCAATGGAGATGGGGAGGGAACTGCAGATCAAAGGGGGACGGGAGAGGAATTTTTACCATTTATCAAGATATGAATTCGGGCACCTCATTTTTTATACGAAAGCCCTTGCAGCATGTGGAGGGAGATCCTCACAAGCAAAGTGTGTATCTTCATATGGAGGGATGTGTGTATCTTCATAAATGGAATGACAAGCGGGCAAGGTGTCTCTCTTGTCCCTTCCCACTGGTTCTAACATCTTGTTCTTCTGTGGCGAAGAACCCCCGCCCCCACCTCTTTCCTGAGGTCCTGGGAACCCAGGATGGCAGCTGAAGCTGGAGTCAAGGGGTCCTCAAACCCGTGCCCGCGTTCTCTGTTTATAGTCAGAAATTTGTTCCTTTCGTTTTGCCAAGAGTGAAGCTTCAAGGTAGAGCACAGAAAACCCGGGCCCCTCTTTCCTCTACCTCAGGTCTAGAGACCTCATTTCCGGGACCCTGGGACCACTGTTGGGTGCTGCATGGGTTCATCCAGTCGTGGTCCAAGAGACTCCTAACTTACCATAGAGACAAGAAGGTCCCGCCTGATGTGTCCCTCAACCCTAGGAAACGCTGGACATGGCTTTCCTGGGCACTCACAACTGTTTCATGCACTTGGATCTGTGTTCTAATCCCAAGAAGCTGGGGTCGGAGCCCTTCCTACTTCTTTCTACAGCTCTTCACGCTGTCTCCTTTACCCAATTACTGAGATGAAATCCATCTCTCCCTAGTCCTGGGGCAAGGCAAGAATAAAGGAGACTAAGAAAGGCCAGGATGTGACGGGTCCATTCCAGAGCCCAGCATTCTTCAAGTTACACAGAGGAACAGCATAGGAACAGAGGTGAGTTCCTGGGATCTAGATAGAGGGTGACTATGGAAATTCAGTAGGTGACTACAGTCTCCCTTCTAGAGATAAAAAGGAGTGAGAGTCAAGGGAGGGATTATAAAAGCCCAAGGTACTCACCGACATATTCTCTATACCTCTGAATCACTGTCAATGCCTAGAGAAGGCTAAACTGCACTCAGGACTCACTCTGAGCCACCAGCCTTCTCCTTCCCACCCCACCCAGAGACCATACATTAAGTCCTGCCGCTTGCTGTTTTTATTTTCCTTGTGACAGACAGACAGAGAGGCTGCACAGACAGCTGGACGGCTGCGGGGATGGTCGGGACAACATAGGCAATAGGGATTGGATGGAAAGGAAACTCCATAAAAGGTAATAAATAAATAAATACAAATAGGAAGAAGGGCAAAGGCCATGGAGCAGCGGGGGACCTCCCTGGGCCAGTGTAGAGGGCCCAGAGCCACACCCGCTGGGGCAGGAGACCAGCTTGAGTGGCCTTAGGCCCACAGCTCGTTGCCTTTCTTCTTCCTTTCTGAAGACGCAGTTGCTGGCCTGCCCTGCCACCCCTGAGCCCGCCCTCCGCCCTCCCTTCCACACATCTCTGCTCTGGCTCCTGGCACTGCCGCTATGTTCTGTCCTCCTCTCCTGTACTCAGCCCAGCTCACCGCTTCCACATCACACGGGGTCCTCCTTCCTCTTCAGCCACTTCCTGAGGTCCACCTCTTCCCCCCCATCCCAGAACCTTCCTCAAGTTCCTTCCTCCCCAGCCTCTGCTTCTCACTTCCCCACTCTCTTCTTGACTCTTTCTTCTCTTCTCGCCCTCGCCCAGTCCGACTAGTGCGTCTCCTGCTCTGCTTACAGCCGGGGTGACATCCGGCTGCAGCCCCAGGGGCCTTGTCCCCTTAGGTCCATGAGGTAATAGCCCAGCCAGATGATGCTGCTGCTGGTATCTGAAGCCCCCCGGCCTGTCCAGCTGAGCACGGGCTCTGGAATGTCCCTTGGCAGCGTTGAGTGGGAACCCGAGTTGAAGCCCGTAGGCGGGCTGTGGTCCATGCCACCTAGGGGCTGCCAGGGTAGGAGCGGAGCAGCACCTTGTGGCGGGTAGCAGCCTCTGCCCGGCGTCGCCGCTGCTCACCTAGGAATTCCTTG